TGAGAAATTCAAAAAAGAGGCAGTCCCGGGGAGAGGGGTATACTATTGGATCCGAAAATCCCAGGGAGAGAAATAGGTCGCTTCCTAAGGACTCGAAGGCAATAGCCTAGAAGGTTGCATGTGGAACCCGAGGACTTAAGTAAGAGGCCGTGCAGAAAATAGATACTACATCCACGGCATCGCGGGAGTGGGGAACTACCACCGGCGTCGACCCTAACCACCGAAGGGGAGCGGGGGGCGGTGGAAGCTGTGGCGGCGAGACGGCGGCGGAGACGGCGGTGGCAAAGGAGGCGGCGGCGGCGGCGGCGGCGGCGGCGGCCGCAGACTCGGTGAAGGTGGCTGGGTGGCGGTGTGCTCGCCGGGGGCGGCAAGGGCGGCAGAGGACTCTGAGGTGGTGGCGGGTGTGGAGGCGGCGAGGGCGGCGGCGAGGGCGACGGCGGCGCGGCTGGCGGCAGCCAGGGCGGCGGCGGGCTGTGTGGCGGCGGAGATGGCTGTCGCGGCGAGGGTGGAGTAGGGCTGGGGGCGGAGGTGAGCTGAGCGGCGGAGAGGGCTGTCGCGCCAAGGGTAACGGCGGGCTTTGAGGTGGAGGTCTGGGCGGCGGAGACGGCGGCGGCGGCCTTGAGGGTGGCGGTGGACTATGCGGCAGAGGAGAGTTCGGAGGCGGCGGCAAGTGGGGGTGGCGAGGGCGGCGGAGGCGAGGGTGGTGGCGGCGAGGGAGGCGAGGGTGGCGGCGGCGAGGGCACTGCCCACCGGTTAGCCCACCAGCCGGGTGCAGCACCACTCGCGCCCGTGTAGAGCCGCCGGTCGACGTAGCACCACTCGCGCTCGCACTAGCCGCCGGCCGAGGTGCAGGGCTGTGACTTCACGACTACCCGGCGGCGCCGCTCAGGGGAGTACCTTTCTGTACGCCGTCAGCCTCGTAGGCAAGTCGTCGCCACGCGGAGCGCGCTCATCACCTACGGCCCCAACGACAGCGCTCTCGCGCCGCCCTCACGCGTGCGGCGACGCCGCCATCGCCCCTCCGTGAGCCCGGGAGTGCGTGGACCAGCAGGTAAGGCTGTGGCGGGTGGGACTCTGGGGCACTCACAGCAGTGGCCCGGGGGCGTGCACCGTTCGGGGGGTAAAATTCTTTTTTGAGCGGAAGCTAGCTAGGGGTACGTTTTATTCATCACTAGCGCCAGGTACTTCAAAAGAACTCGGGAAAAACAAGCTAGGACACCCCGGCTCGGCGGCAATGGCGCTGTCCTCGGCCCAACGGCGGGAGGCGGCACACCCGCCATGGTGTTCCTGGTGGCAGCCCCGGGCACGGCCGCGCGCCCTCGTTGACGAAGCATCCGATATAGGTGACGACCCAGCGCGGCGAGGTACTCGGAGGGGGTGTGGGCGGCGGAGGAGTGGAGGGCGCGGAGGGAGGCGAGCAAGCCGCGCAGCCCTGGCACCTCGGGTCGCTGCATGTCTCGTGTATCCCGCGCCAAAGTTGTTGTGCGCACCCGTCAAAGCACCGAACGGCGAGCAGCGCGTCGAGCGCGCCGTCGCTGCAGCCCATATACGCCGGCTTGAGGCCGTACTCGTTGTCGAGGAGCAGCGGCTCGTCGGCGCCGAACCTTGAGGGTGGCATTGCGTCCGAGAGTGTCTTGGAGCGGGCTGGTGTCTGGCGACGGCAGAGGGGCGGCACCGGTAGTGGATCCAGGAGTACTTGTCGGTGAAGCCCCAAAAGGTGATCCCCTCCATCGCCGGGTGCGACAGCGCGACGGCGAGCAGCGCGCGGTAGGCGATGCGCTGCCGTGTTGCTCTGCTTTCCTCGGGCCAGTCGCGCACACGCATGTCGATCTCCGAGAGGGTGAGCTTGAGGCCGAGCGCGGCGAAGCGGTTCAAGTTGCTCCTCACCTTGCGCACCCAGCCCGCCTGCGGGGGCGCGAAGTGGGCCAGTGGTAAGGGCGTGCCGAGATGGCTGACCGGCTGACGCACTGCGAGCCCTTGCCATGTCCCCGCGGTTCTCGACCTCCGAGCCTTTGACGTGGGTTTGAAAGCCGACAACAAGACACACACGACTAAACACTGACTGGCGCAAAAGAGAAGAAAATCCCGTGCCCCTTTTGTTTAGCTGTTTACGAGAGGTGAACGTACGAGTACCCCCCTGCCCATTGCAACCCCTTGCGCTCTCTTCACGGATGAGAGTTATTGCACACACGTCTTCGCGCGCGCTGTCGACGCCGGGGCACACGCTGTAGTTGCGAATGAGGCATTTTGCAATAGTAAATGAGACTTGCTACTCACTCAAACATACTACACCAGTGAGGGAGGGCGAGACGATCAGGGTTCCCGTACCATGCGGAATCGGCCCTATCCAGTGCTCAAAACATACTTGCGCGCGCTCAATCCTCCAGTCCATGATATATGTCACAAAGTGCAACATGCACCAACAGCGCGCCGGGGAACGAGTCCTGGGTAGGGTGTTGCGCCGGCACCACTCAACCGCGCTGATGTCGCGTCAGTGGAGTTATCTCTTCTCAAATGCGTGCATGATCGTCGCGGCCACGCGCCTGGCAGTCGCAGACGATGCTCTGAATGGCGGACCCGAGATAGAGACGGTCGCCAATGCATTTGAACGGATCAATGTGAGCTTGCCGGTAGATGCCGACGATAAGACCAGCGAGCCGCACGCACACTAGCGGGCACGTCACCCTCCTCGCGTCAGGCCGGTGCCTTTGTCGTGACGATGCCGGAGCGGTACGAGCAGGTAAGTGCAGCGCTTCGGCAATGGTTAAACGCAGCCCCCGTCTGACTTGCCATTCTCGAGCAGGTGCGCGCCTTCCTCACAGACGAGCTGAAGCTTCCGCCCACGAGACAAGTGATCGTGCCGGCGGTGCAGAGCGCAGAGCTTGAGAAGCCCGACGTCCTCGCAGCGTGCATCCAGAACGGTAGCATCAAATGGTCATGGGTCAACAACTTCACTGGCCGCTGGTACCAGACCTTCACCACCACACGCGGAGCCGTGGGTCTGTCGCATCTCCGTGCACACCATGTCTTCCTCGAGTCGCCCTTCAGCATCGGCGTCGTCTTCGAGGATGACGCCACCCTGTCAACAAGGTGGAGGTACAAGGGCGAGCATGTCTTCACGAGCCGGATCGTCTACAATTCGCTGGCTCATGCTGTAGATGTGTTACATCTTTACATACATACAACGCCATTACTGGCTCTATAGCCTCTACCTAATCGCCTCCCCACCCTGCCCGCCCAGGTTCATGCACCGGCGCCGTGGAAAATGCTCTTCCTCGGGTACTGCTATGAATTCCCGCTTGCGCAGGAACAGTTCATCAAAGGCGAGAGGGGCCTGGTCTACCTGCCCTCCTTCTCGCCAAAGTGCCTGCATGGCTACGCAACCACCCGCGAGGCGCGTTAGCATGCGAGCAGCGAGTCGGAGCAGGACAGCGGACTCAGGAACCGCTCGACCCTCGCGCCTCAGGCAAGTTCGACCTTGGTCCGCAAGCTGGTGCCCCTCGACAACACTGTCGATGCAAAGGTGGCGGAGGCGATCGAGTCGGCGGCGGTACGCGACTCGTACAGCCTGTGGCCGCCGATCATCACGCAGCGGCGGGAGGAGAGCCCGCTCAGCCGCATCGACGAGGAGCTATTCAAGGGCAACACCACGGATGCCCCCCAGCCCGCCTACTTCAACAGCCCGCGCCCTACCAGCGCACCGATTCCGCCAGAGTACGTCTGTGCGGGAGATGGCGTCTGCCGGCCCGCGTCGGCTCATATCCTGTGGGAGCACTTGCACGTCGCAAAGACGGGCGGGACCTCGCTCTCGTTTGCGCTGACAAACATGCTTTGCGGCCCCACTATGGGCGCCATGCCGGAGGGCCTTGAGCCGTGGGAATTGCGAGGGACCCGCGCTTGCGTCAACACGATGCTGGACACGGAGCTCTCGTGGCCGGTCGTGGCCGAGATTGAAGGCATGAAGCGAGAGGAGCACGCGGGGCTAGATGCCATTGCGCTGCGCGGTGCCAACATGCAGAAGGCGCTCACGCCGTGGCATATATCCCCGGAGCCGAAAATCGTCTTTGTGACGGCGCTGAGGGACGGCAAGTCGCGTGCGATGTCTCACTGGGCGCACTGCACGCTGCAGCCACCGGTCGTCGTGAATGACGGAAGCCGGCGCTGCACACTCGGCATGATTCCGATGCCCGAGACGCCACGATGGGACGACGAGTCGCTGCTCCTCTTCCTCGAGCGCGATTCGCAGGCGATGCGCAGGTCCGGCAGGCCCAAGCAGGGCCTGCGGGTTAACAACGCGCTGGTCGGGGCCCTGTCGTCCCTGCCGCACCCGGACGTGATGCTCAACCCTGCGCACCTCGAGCTAGCCAAGCAGGCGCTGCTGTCCTCGAGGTACGAGCTCTCCGACGGGCGGCAGCTGCAAGGCTTCTCCTGGGTCGTCGGCTTCACCGAGTGCCTCGACGATATGTACGTCCATCTCGCTCGCCGGATGGGCGTGCCGGACCACTTGGCGGAGGAGACGGCGGGCGTACGCTACGAGAAGCGGTTCTCAGAGCACGACGCGGACGTCACAGGGCGGCGGCGGCAACTGCTTCTCGACAGTGACCCCGCGGAGCGGTTGCTGCGGAGACTAACGGACTCGGCGGGGCTGACGCAAGGCTCAAAAATGGCGGCGCTGAAGAACGGCCTCGACAACTCGCTGTGGTTGTGGGCGCACATGATGGCCGGGAAGCAGCGAGGCGAGGTCTTGCGACGCTTCGACGGCGAGGCATCCTTTGTGGGCTGCAGTTGAGACAGCTGAGGTACGGCTCTATCGTCACGTGGGGTGTGTGTGCGCGGGGGGGGGGGGGGGCATTAAACGAGAGGGCGGCAAAGGCGCCGCCCACGCCACGCTGTGCCCCTACTGCGGCAACGTGAGAGGTGAGACTACCCCTCTACCCGACTACCCCCCAGCAGCAGAGATGTCAGATTCAGTTTCGCCTCTCTCACGTGCGGCCCCGGGCGAGCTTTTCACGCGGCCCGCCCGCCGCCGCCGCGCTGCCCGCACGGCAACCTGCGCATTGCGCGTGCGTGGGTCTGGCGGGCCGCGCGCGTCCCGGCGAAAGCAACGACTCAGATTAGCTCTAACTCAGAACAGTTTTGGTATGCAGATGAGATCTCATCGTCTCACTGTGGATGAGCACACATTGTTTGTGGGAGGGCTTCACTCCAGACACTTTGCGGCGACCAGCTGCAGCTCTGTCGGGTGCTCGCCGTTGATCTTGGCGGCGACGCTTCTCTCGAGCGCCGAGACGACCGGCGCGAGACAGGCGGGGCGCGCCTTGGCGAGACGGGCCCACGGCGGGCCGATGAGGGCGGCGAGGATTAGGGCGGCGACGGAGGCAGGCGCCTGCGCGCCCGCGGCGCCCTCGCGCGAGCAAGTTGCGACGAGGGAGAGGAGCCGCGCCTCGGCTCCTTGAGGGAGGGAGCCGGCCCGCACCAGCCGCGCGACGCCGAGCGCAGCGCACAGCTCGGTGGGCGTCGCTGCCCTCGGATCGGCAGCCGTGCCCGCACCAGCGTTTGTGGCGGCGGTGTCGGTGCCGATGGAGGGCTCCTCGCACGCCAACCTGCCCATCTCTCCCTCGCACGCCAACCTGCCCATCTCTCCCTCGCACGGCGGGTCCGCGTCCGCGGCCTCCGCTCCCGCGCCGCACCCCTCCTGTCCTCCCGCGTACTCTCCCTCCAGGGCCTCCAGCGCCTCCCCGCCCCCCTCCCCGCCCCCCTCCCCGACCCCCTCCCCGACCCCCTCCCCGACCCCCTCCCCGACCCCCTCCCCGATGTACAGGTGGACAAACGACTTGAGCGCGGCACGGCGCTGCGCCCCACCTCCCCCGGCAGCGGCCTCCTCGAGGGCAGAGCCGCCGGCCGAGCCGCCGCGCTGCGCCTCCTCGAGGGCGGCAGCTTGAGCCTCGGCCGCTGCGACAGCCGCCTCGAGCGCCCCCTCCCCCGCCGCCTCCTCCCTCACCGCCGCCTCCTCCTCCGACGCCTCCGCCCTCTTCGCACCCGCCCTCCCCTCCGCGTGCAGCACCGCCCGCTCGAGGGTGGAGAGCATGTGGTCGAAGACAACGGCCGGCGCCGGCCCGCTGCCCACGTCCAGAAGCGCGACTGGGGTCAGAGAGGTGAGTGCCGCCAGCCGGCAAAGTGGCGGCACAGCAGAGCGGTGGATGGCGCAGAGGTTCTCGGCGACGGCGCGCAGCTGCTTGGCGCGGTGCGCGCCAGTCTGCGGCAGAGCCTGTGCCCAGCGCGGCATCAGCGTGCACAGCGCCGCCAGCTCCAGCGCCTGCCCGCCGTCCTCGACCGACTCGGCGACGCGCCGCTCGAGGGAATGGCGTAGAGCGTGGAGCGCGCCCTCGCCCGTGTCTGCAAGGCAGAGAGGGAGGCCTCGCAAGGAGGCGAGCAGCTCGCAGAGGTCCGTCTCGCTGGCCGACGCCAGGGGCATGGCCCGGCCAGCGAAGCTGAGCGCAGAAAGCACCTCCGGGAGCGGAGCCTCGAGCACCCGCGCCAACGATGCGAGCTCGCCAATCGCAGAGAGGAGGCTCATCTCGCCGCGCAGCGCGGCGGCGACGGCGGCGCGGGCGGCGGTGTCGAACTCGCTCTGCATTAGAGGCGGCAGCCCGCTCGGGGCCAAGAAGAAGGTCGTTACTGCCCGCAACGCCGGCGCGCGAAGTGATCGTTTTCCCTTGTATGTGTGTGTATGTCCACCCGCCGCTCGCGCCGCCTCGCCTCCTCCTCCACCGCCGCCCCCTCGCCGGACGCGCCGCCGCCCGCCCGCCTCCTCGACCTCCCCAGGGAGCTCCTCGAGCGCGCCCTCTCTCGCTTCGACAGCCCCATCGACATCGCTCGCGTCGCGGCCGTCTCGCTCCTCTTCCACGCCTCGCTTGCGGAGGAGGGCATCCGCTTGTGGGCGCAAGAGCGCGGCTTCGAGCTGCCGGCGCAACCAGAGGGCGAGGGCTGCGCCGTGCGCTGGCTGTGCTTTGCCGCGCTCTTGCGCGAGTCCAACGCGCCGGCAAGGGCTGCGGGAGGCGCTCGGCACAGCCTCTTCATCGACGGCGAGGGGCGGCTGTCGTCGTGTGGGAAGGCCGAGGACTGGACGCCAGGGCTCCTCGGCCACGGCGAGGGCGTGACCCGGCTCAACACGCTGACCCGCCTCCCGTCGACGCTGGGTGACGAGTGCGCCGTGAGTGTGTCGGCTGGAGGCGGCCACAGCCTCGCCTTCACCGCCGACGGCGCTGTCTGGAGCTGGGGCCATGGAAGCTTTGGCAGGCTGGGCCACGGCGACGAGCAGGGCCAGCTGCTGCCGAGGAAGGTCGAGGCCTTTGCTGGGCGGCGCGTCGTCGCTGTCTCGGCTGGAGCGCACGACAGCTTCGCCATCACCGCCGACGGCGCTGTCTGGAGCTGGGGCGATGGCGAGGATGGCAAGCTGGGCCACGTGACCAGCAGAACCAGCTGCTGCCGAAGAAGATTGAGGCCTTGACTGCCCGGCGCGTCGTCGCCGTGTCGGCTGGAGCGCACGACAGCTTCGCCATCACCGCCGACCCGCGCACAGCCTCGCCATCACCGCCGACGGCGGTGTCTGGAGCTGGGGCCATGGATACCATGGCAAGCTGGGCCACGGCGACCAGCAGAACCAGCTGCTGCCCAAGAAGATCGAGGCGTGGGGGCTGGGGCAGTGAGCGAAGGGGGAGCAGAGCAGGTTGTCAATGAGCCTGTCCTGGGTGGGTGGGCGGGGGGGGGCTCGCCGTCCTCGCATGAATCTCGCGAAGGCAGCTCCAGATGCAAAGCCACAAAGGGTGTGGCGTTTTGCACATGGGGGCCAATGGGAAGGGCGAACACCACGTACGACGTAGCGCTGTGCGGGAAGGGGGGCGTCGAGATGATCAATTTGATAAAAAAACACCCACACGAGCGCGAGGGCGGCATTGCACTCGCGACTTGGCAAGCTTTGGGGGGTCTTGCCGGTGCGGCCGGTGCGCCGGTGCGTGCACCGGTGGCGCAGCAGCAGCGAGCCACGGCAGCCTCAGGCCAACAGCCGGCCAGCCTCCGCGCAGAAGGCCTGCGCAAAGGCTTCGTCGGAGAAGCGGGTCGCCACCGACTCGCGCGCCGCGGCCGCCATGGCGGCGCGGCGCTGCGCGGCGCGCGGCGCGAGCGTCAGCTGCGCGAGGGCCTCGGTGTACTCGCGTTCTGTCGCCGCGAGCAGCCCAACCTTGCCGCGGGGAGGGGGGGTTCCTGTTGGGCTGGCTGCGGGGCGGCCCCTCCCTCTCCGCCCCTCTCCGGCTGCATCTGGGGCTGCATCTGGGGCTGCATCTGGGGCTGCATCTGGGGCTGCATCTGGGCTGCATCTCGGGGCACATCTCGGGTATCACGGCTGAATCTCGGCTACGGCTCGGCAGCCTCTCCGCGCGGCTTGACGATGTCGAGCAGCGGGCCTCCGGAGGCGTGCGCGACGGGAGGGACGCCTGTGGGAAGAGGCGCGCGGCGCGGGGGGGGGGGGGGGGGGCCCCCCCCCAGTCAAAGGCGAAGAAAAACCAGGGAAAAGGGCCAGCGGTCGGGTGGTTGATCTGCGCGCAAAAACTCCCCCCCGGGGAAAGAGGGGTGGAAAAAGCCCCCCCCCTCGGGCCATAAATTCCACCAACCCGATGCCAAAGGGGACTTCCCAATTCGGGGGGAGACCCACCTTTTCAGGGGGGGGGGGGGAAAAAACCCCTTTGGGGGGGGGCTCCGACACAAAACACCCCCCCCCCCGTTTCCCCCCCCCATTTTTTTTTCGGGAGAAAAACTGTGCCAGAACCAAAAAAACAAACAACTCGGGGAGATACAATTTATGGAAAAAAAAAACCTCGGTACATGGCGGTCCTCGGCCACGACC